TTCAGACATATCTAATTGTGTAACAATAAATGAAAACAATAGTAAATCTATCTTTTTGGAATATTGTGCTGAAATTAATTGCAATGAAATATTCTCTAAAAATGTACAATCAGCACGTACATAGATATCACCGTGATATTCTCCAATTTTAAATGCACCAAAAGTAGCTGCTAATAATAACTCATCAACAGAATAGGATGTGACTCTAATAATATTTGGATTCGATTGAAATATGTTCACAATGTGGTACACGATTTGAATTTAATAGTGTTTTCCAATGTTGACCTATATCATTTAAATTTGGTAATTCTGCATAATCGTCTTGTTCATGTTTTGTACTTAAAACAATGTAGGATACTAATTCAATTTCTTTAACAAATGTTACTGTTGTTAATGGTGTTGTAGATAAGACTAATGTTCGAATTTTCTCAGTTAACTTTATTCTGTCTTCAGAATTTTTAACTTGTAGAATACTAATACCAATTTTAGGTATACATTTAATATGTTTCAACTGGATACCGTTACTTTGTTGAAGTCGATCAGATATTTTATATTCTAAATCAGAATTTGACTCATTATGTGGTGGTAAAATTGGAATATAAACAATATGTTGTTGTTCATCATCGTCTTTTTTATCAACAGTAATAGCAGAATTATTAATTTTAGGTGGAGTTATTTTAGGTAGAATTATTGTAGGTGTAGTCGACTTTGATTTTGATTTTTCTTGCTGTTGTGGATTTGATTCTACTTTATTTACTATTGATGGAAGAGAAATATCATTTTCATCTTGTGTTAGGTTAACACGACGATTTGCGGAATGAAGTCTTTGTCGTGATGTTGTTCGGATAGCTTCATTTGATTTTTGATCGGTTTGACGTGGATGTTTACATTGTGCACATTTTTCATTAGCAGCTAGATTATCAGAACCACAATCACTGCAGAACCAATTCTGATCAATCATAACAGGAATATTACTAGTTATACTAAATCGTCTTTTCATTGTTTGAGGTGCTGGTCTTGTGCCTTCATGACAAACGGAACATTGTTCAATTGTCATAGGACTAGCAAAAGTACAGGAACCACAAGTCCATTCTTCTGGTGGAAGTGGAAGAGGATGCTTTGAGATAAAAAAAAAAAAAGAAAAGAGCGTTCATACAAGAAAAACGCTTTTATTACTTACAACTATGTTTGATATTGTTTTTGATGAATGTGGCGTGATACTTGATCGTCGATCAGTTGGTACTTGTGCTGGTCTTTGAACTGCGATTCCACTGTCAGGAATTTTTGTCAAGGTGGTTGATAATCGTCGTTCATTTGACATTGTTGCTGCTATTTGTGTTAAATATGTATATTATCCGCTCGTCTAAAATACATAAAAACCAAGAATAATTAATAATGATTGAAATTTTTGTCTTGTAATCTATCTATTAATCGTTCTTTTTTCATTTTATTTGCCTTTAATTAAAGTAGATCGAATAAAACAAAGAGAAAAAAAAGATGAAAGAAGGAAAATGCCAACTTGAAAATGCTTTTTCTTTTGAAAATTTATATAAATATAAAAGAAGAAAACAAGAAAAACAAGGTACATTAGGTTAACAGTAAGAGCAACAATAGTAACCTTTTCAGTTTAATACGCTTGCCGATTTTTTCGAATATTGAAATGATGAACAGAGAAAACAAAACAAGACAGCACTTGACAACACCATTTAGAAGTAATTCAAAGTTTGCTAATAGAAATTTAAATATATGATGAAATATAGAAGAATGAAAAAATAGAGGGACAGAACCGAATTCAGATCGACTTGAAAAAAGTGTACGTACTAAAATAAACCAAATGAGAAAATAGCTAGGATTTTAGACAAGGGGGAAAGCACGGAATCCTAGAATCCTGAATTCTCCTGGATTCCAAGGATTCTCTATGATTCTATAGGATTTCTTCGGATTCCCTAGGATTCTCTTGGAATCCATAAGATTCCCTTGGATTACCTGGAACTTCCCCCCAAAACAGAACATTTTGTTCTGTGTTGGAGAAAAGTTCCCCAAAATATAGAACACTTTTGTTCTGTTTCGGGAGAAGTGTAGAATCCCGGATTCCATCGGAGTTCACCAGATTCCACCGGATTCTACTAGATTCCATAGAATTTCAGGATTTCAGGATTCCGTACTTTCCCCCTTGATTTTAGATCAAACAATATTGTTAAAATTGAAAAACTGTGCAATGAAAAGCACAAACTTGTCAGTATATAATGTGCAAAAAATCACGAAAACATACTGCGTTCGAATGATACCTATAATTAAACAAAAATCTGAGTCGACCTGCGTGAGGCGAAAAAATCGGTGGGTAAGACATTTTTAGCAGAAAAAATTCATAGTTGAATAACTGATAGTTGTCGAACTTGTTTCTCCTTTTATAATGTGAGGTAGAAACGGTAAGATGTGACACAAAGTGCAAAGCGTGAACATTTTTTAGACACTGTGCTTGGACAGTAGAAATGAGTTAAAAAACCTGCTAGTAGTTAGTCCTTTACAACTGAATACATCCCGGATAATATTCATCATGGAATTGATCATCTTTTACCGTCGCACAACGACCGCTTGTCGTTGTTACTGTTGTTGGTCTTGTTGTTGACGAATTATCTGATGCAATAACAATTAACCATTTTTCAATAGCTCTTATATACTTTAAATAAATTCGTTGTTTGACGGGGAAATAGATGGCATGTATTCGATATACTGTATCTTTAAATATACGTTGCGCTTCTTCCCGCAGTTCTTTATCGGTATATGTTTCGCTGACACCAACAATTTTCAGACAATCTAAATTGAGACGTAGGAAAAAAACGGTATCCGAATTAATAACTTTTTGAACAGTTAATGTAAAATAAATGTTTGAATCTAGATTTGTACGATTATGTGGAAAACCTTCATAAGCAATTTTATAGGCTTGATCACGTGTTGTTTGATAATATGCAATAACGATTTTTGTTTCTTCTGTTATCACTTGCGGTATTTGTTGTTGTAATAATGATAGAGAATGATAGAGTACATAATGATGTAAACTTTTTGATTTACATTTATCCAATGGTTCTGGACATAATGATGTATTCCATTGACGTACTTGTTTATCATTTGTAATATTCTGTGGAATAAAACACAGATGTGATCGATGAAAACGCCGATGTTGATTATTATTATCTGGACGATAAGTCCATAAACGAAAAAAATGTATAAATTCAATTACGAGTACTATAATCGATGGTACTAATGATAAACTACTTATAACTGTGTAGACAACACCACGCGGTGCATAACGATTTGCACATGATGCACCCAATATAAAACCTATAAATCGAAATAGAAAACATATGCTCAAAATAGACAATCGTGTTAATAAGATTCCTTGTGGATGATCATAATAACATTTACATGTAAAACATGTTAATGTTGCTATATGCCATAATGTTCTTATTTTACAACATACTACGGTTGATTTTTCATCACTATCAGGATAAATAGAAGGTAAACAACATTTTACCATTATATATAAAACATTAGAAATAAGAATAATTAAAAATATAAACATTTCAAATAGAAATATTGGGATTAAATACGACAGACTTTGACGTAAAGGATCTGATCCGCTCAATGGTGTTATTTTAGCAAAATCTTCTGCACACAGAATAATAAGCCGTATAAAAATTGTTAAAGTATCAATGGAATGAAATAAAACTAATAGACGAAAACGTCTTTGATCATCGTAACAGTTAATTGGTGATTTAAATGATATTTCTCTCATATTTGTTTCAGAAAAAGCTAAATATGACTACTAATATCTGAAGAAAAGAAAAATAGCTTTTCACATTGTAATTAAAGAACACAGTAAACCAACTACTAATTCTTGAAAGTATGCAAGGTAGTTATCTCATTTTCCCAACGTTTCTTAGGAAGAAAATCCGAATGCCTTTTGGCTAAATGATGGTTGACTAATCACTACTCTAAGCGATGGTGATCAGTTACCAGGTTTTTGTCATATATTTTCCTTTTCTTCCTTTAACAGAAACAGTTCTCTCAAACGAAGACAAAAACAAACATTTTAATGATTTTCATTACCTCAATCTCTGTTTGAATGATGTAAAATTTTTTGAAAAGCTTTTTGACTGTTATTGTTTGTAAAAGTATATAAGAGAAATAGCCCTTTTCGTACTTTAAAGTGTCCAATATTGTCAACCATTTAAAACTAATTTCATGTTTTTTCGGTTTTTTCCAACATCTTTTAAGTGCATAACTACAAAAATAAATTGAAAGAAAGACAAGAGAAAACAAATAGATCAGTAACAAAATCAAAAAATTTCAAAACGAGAAAAAGTAAATATCTAACTACATTAACGTTCATATGGCGTTGCTGCACAGCGTGTCCAAATGTTACGGAATTCCCTTTTTTTTGTCTTCTGGGAGTCATATCTTCCAACCGATAAGGTATAAAGTTCTGAAATTTTTACTATAGATAGAAGACATAGAGCTCTACTTCCTGTAATCACTCCTGTTCTACTTCCTATTTTGTGATTTTTCAAGCAAGAGACTTTTTAGGTTGGAAACTTAACTTTTTTTAAGTCAGGATTTTTGTTTGTTTTGACTCTTTCTCTTCTACAATGTAATTTCTCGAACTGATTGTATTGTGTAAAATGATGAGATGAACTGTACACACACTACTAAAGAAAACGCATACGTATTTATATGAAAAAGAAGGTAACTGAACATAAAGGAGAGAGTGACAACTAGAAATAGGCGGCTCGAAATTTTACATGAGGACGAAAACCTCATGTAACAGGTTAGATTACGGAAGGGAAGCGCATTTTTTCTGAGTTGAGCACGCACCTGAACTTCTAAAAAGATTCCTATGCAAATACGGCATGAAAAGGGAAAATTTCGAAGTTACGGCTCGACTGTTTTTTAACGGCCTTGAAATTCCGTAATGGAGTATTTTTAGATTTTTACCTTAAAAAAGAAAGCAAAATAAGATAATATATAGTACATTCGATAGCCCCCGCGCGATCTATCGAGCTGTGTGCTTTTCCAGTCAAATAATTGTCTTTTGATAGAATAAAAAACATTACTGAATTTCGTTACGGAATTCCATTTGGAAATCAGAGAGTTTTTGAACGTGCTTTCTCTGCGTCGAGACTTCAGAACTTTATAAAAAAGCCGTACAGTGTTTTTTTATAAAAGTAAATGGAAAAGATCGAAGTAAAGGAAACAAAATTTCTGTCCTATTCCTATTATTATTGCTAAACTGACTAAACCCCTTTCCAGAATAGAAGGCCATGGCCTTCTATGAGGGTTTCACACATCGCACTTTTCTTGTTGAAAAACTGAAAAAACAAATGGTTTGACTTACACAAAATGAATAATTTTTTGTTTTACAACTGCTTTTTTCGTTACAGAAAAGCTCAAGCCTTCGAAACTTGACTTGGCTCTTATTGCACACGCAGTCCTCAAGACTGCCTTTCTGTAACTTTTCTCTCAAGTAAATTGACAATATTAATGTCAGATGTCACCAAAATGGTTTGATCGTCAGTGCCGGTCACCCATCCACTTACTAATCGTCATCATGACGCTCGACCAGAGAAAAGACAAAACCGCACTAAACGCACATGACTCATAGAAATATTGTGACAATTGAATTGTCACTTTTCTGTAACGAAAAAGCGGTTGTAACAAAAATTTATTTAATTTAAAAAAGTCGAGTTTAGTAACAAGATCATTTACATTTGAAGGCAGATTGATCGGACGACTATAGTAAGGTATTTTTCAAAACATGTACCTCCTTTTCTCATGTCATTCTCATTCTTCTGCACCATTCTTCCCATTCTTCTGCAAAGCCTATAATGGGTAAATACCTGATTGGCGGTGCTTCTATTTAAATAAAAATGGTTAAAAAAAACATGTACCCCACGCTCTAAAATATCTTTCTCTCATCGTTTCGTATAACTATTTTAGATGTTGCCAACAACGATCACAACAACAGCGAAAAAAAAACCAATGCTATTAATAAATGATGCGCAACGTCATCGTTATTTAGTTCGCATTCATATTGTTGAAGGTATAGCATTTTGGATACGTTTTATAATTATATGTACAGATTTATCAGCTGCATCAGGAAATATAGTCAATAATGCACATGATAGTTTACGATATTTGGTTGTTATATTATTATTTGAATTATTTACATCATTTATTCTATTCATAGCTGATAGTCTATATGTTATTCTGAGATATTTGGGACGTGTGTTTTATGAATCCGATTCCGATGATCTATGCAATGAACGAAAATATTTGTGGCCTCTGGCTACACTAACATGTTTAAAACAAATTGACTGTTATTATGATCATCCACACTTAATTTTATTAACAAGGGTTTGTATTTTGATTGGCTTTTGGTTATTAAGATTTATTGCTTTCTGTTTAGCATGTGCATGTGGTAATCAATATTCACCAAGAGGTATTGCGTATGCTGTAATTTCTTCGTTTTCATTAGTCATATCGGTATTCACAATCATAACTGAATATTTACATTACAAACGTTTGTGGACCTATCATCCACAAAATAATTATGATGCCACCTATAATAAAGCACATTTATGTTTTCTTCCATATTCTCTTATTAATGATCAACGTATAACCGAATGGGGTACATCAACGTGCAAACGTGGTAAAAAATGTGAGTCAAAAAGTTTATTCCACCTCTTAGTTTATCATTCCGGGGAAGATCAATTTAAACCAAAACATGACGAACAAAATCCAACTGTATTCGGTTTTCATCAAACAAAAACAAATCTAGCATATATCATATCTCAAGATGCACGCGGATTTATACCAAGTTTGAAAGGTATGCTAGGAGCCGGGGTTTATTTTGCAACATCCATTAATCATACTGAAACAAAAGCACATAATTTCGGTGCCTATATATGTGTTAAAGTCAGTCTGGGACGTGTTTATCGTACAAATAAACGTGAAATGCCATCATCTACAGAAAAATACGATACTGTATATTATGAACATGAGTCTGGTAATGATGAATTTTGTATTTTGAATTCCGAACAAATTCAATCATGGATTATTACGGTGAATGAAGATTTTGATGTCAATTCAAATGATCGTGATATGTTTAATGAAACATTATATACACCTTGTTTTTAGACTGAAACTTCTTCTCTCTCTGCTATAAAAAACGATTTGGAATATTGAAATGTTATGTTTCAAAAATATTATGTGCGTTATGACGAAGCTATTACATAATATGTGTTCCATTTGGATTTTTTTGTATTAATAATACGTTTGAATTACAATTGTGAAGATGGAAGAGTATCTTTTTTAGTTAATTTAAGAAAAGACGAGGATACCCTGAAATCGGGTCTTCATCAAATCTCAACCACATGTGACAGAGCCATTTTGAAACCAATCTAAGCTCTCATACATCTTCCTGCATGGAGAAACTTTTGCAGATGCAAACACTCTTGAATGGAAAAAGTGATTTTGAGAGGAAATACTGTTTATTTACTGATGCAATATTTAGACATCTAGAAAAATACTTGAAAATCGAGATCTTTTTCATGTTTTTTCAAGTTAATCGATATTTAATCCGCGATATTTCTGAAATCTTTTCTCATTTTGTCCATTTTACATATTTTTGATTTTTATGTTTTGTTCCTCTATTAAAGTGTATAATTCGCACTCTCTTCAAAATTCAACTCTAATGATGATACTATAGAAGTACCGCAAACTCGCTTTATATGTAAAATAATTTTGCGAAACTTTTTTTCAAGTATATTGAATATATACTTAGTTTTGTAAATAACTTTTGCTGCTCACAATGTTAGAACAGTTGAAAAAACATGTTTTGTTTTTCTCACTGTCATGCAAACCTTTGTTTGAATAAAGTCTAAGCTGCAAAACATAAATTCTTATCTACAAGATGTGAATATTATTTACTCAACAGAAATATAGAAGAAGCCGCGCTCAATCAACAAAGGCTTTTAACTAACTTATATCAAGTCGCTGACGGATGTCGAATTATTCTAAGGTACAAAACCGTAAGCAATGAAGGAGGAAGTACGTGCGGTCGCTATAGAAACACGATTTTGTGGTAGTTCTGCTAAGCAAAAATCAGTTTTTTCTCCAAAAGTAGCTCGCTGGCTGAATCCGTTAGTAAGCTACGCATAAAATTTCTAAAAACACATTGATCTAGACTTAATTCATCGTGTTTTACAAAAAACAGTCAAAAAATATGACTTACTTTACCTATTATGGGTTTTCACTAAGTTTTGGAAAATCTTTTGAAAAACAAGCATTGCCACGAGTTTTGGAAGGATCGATAATTCAAGATAATGTCTTTTTGGCATGGCATACATAAGTTTTCCGATGATAGTGAGGAAGATAATGGTTTTAACGATAATAATGGTGATTCAATTGCTTCCACAACAGCAACAACAGTATCGCCAGCAGAAGGTTAAAAGTGTCATGAAATAATAATTCCACCATCTATTATTCGAATAAATGCTTTTATTTTTCGATGTATTATTCGTTTAGCGCTTCGTTTACTCCTTTCAGAAAATATTTTACCAGTTACTCCAACTGTTAAATTATTATCAAATGCTGGGAGTCTCACGGGTGCCGCGTATTTTAGTTAAAACAATGAAAGTAATAAACTCCAAGAACACTCAAACAACTAAAAGCTCTTCTTTAACTCCTTAGGACTCGATTCACTCATAGCTTCGAATGTCGATTTGAATCAAACGAATGGAAGCGGTCAGGCTTAACTTAAGAGCAAATGAGCAAGGTAATAGATTCTCAAAGGTATAAATTCTCAGCAATCCAAATGCGTGCTACTTAACTCACTCTCACCACACACTCCCGTCCCACTAACCGCTCATCAACAATAGGTAATATCTGAGTTATATTTCAGTCCGACTTCCACACCCACGAAGAAAACATGAGATTATGTATTCTCTACTGGTTACCAATGATGCACCATTTTAGACAATATTCAGTATATTCATCCTCACCCTCATCTTCATATAAATATACAGTACATGAGATTATCTGATTAGAAGCTGATTAATTAAGAATTAGCTTCTCAGCTAATTAGAAGTGATACACCGTATATAGAAGATAATCAAATATAAATATACAATGCATGAGATTATTCGATTATCTGCTTCTTTGCTGTATAAGAAAGACATATTACAAGAAAATGTTCAAATAATGGAAAAAATCTAAATATGTTACATATTTAGATTTGATATCTACTGAAAGAGATGGGTGAGCATCTACTCGTCGAATATATGAGTGAGTGTTGCCGTCGTCTGGCTTTTGTCGAAGTGTAAAAGAACTTCGATTTCTTCTTACATTAAGAATTCCTTTCCGGCACAGCTAGTGTCTGATAGATACTGCTTATTCCGTGTGACGTGCTGAATCACAGAACAGAAAGACGGCTGCTAACCAACGGGCGGGCCGTAATAAACGGTCCGAAATGTTTTCGTATTTTGGAAGTACTTTGCATTCATTCCGAAAATTAGCTCCCGGCTTATTCATCAACGAATTCAAAGGTCTACAAAACTGTCGATTTGATCTTTTGATAATATTTTGTTCCGAATGAAGAAATTCAATATATTCAGGTGCACTAATTCTTCCAACTGCGATTACCTGCTTTATAAGCGCATCTCTCCTTTTGGACATCTATTTTCTGAAGAACTTTGTGAGTAAACCGAAGTATTTTACACAGATCGACAGAGAATTTTAACTGCTACCTTTCTATGCTCTTTTCATAATGTTTGCGTTCAAAGCTCGAGACAAACCGGATTGAATTTGGAAAGTAGTGGCATTTCAAAGAAATTTTCGAAATATTGAATTTTTTCAAGCTAGGTCGGTCTTTTAGATGAATCCGACTAAAACAACTCAATATTAGCATCAACAGACGTTGACGTAAAACAATCAAACGATAAGTAACCGCCGATACGTTTTCTAAAATTTCAGAATGCTCGAAATACGAACTCTTCGTTTCTTTCGTTCAACGCTCAAAGCGTGTTAGAGTACACTTTATCTTGAAAGCAATCGAATATTATATTGGTTTAATATCACGTGAGTATCTGGT